CTCTCTCTCTCTCTCTGACTCTCTCTCTCTATTTCTCTCTCCCTATCTATCTCTATCTGTGTGTGCATATACTTTGTTTATCCGGTTAAATTCGTAAGGCAAACTGTCAATTTGGAGTGCTGGGTGCTTCACAGACCTACGATATCTATATCATATGCCAGCAATTTTTTGTGGTAGTCTGATAAAACGATCATCTCACAAGTAAATCGAGAAATTGGTAATAATGAAGAGAAATTTAGACTCATCTGTCAGCATACATTATTACTCATTACGTCTGCATTAAAAATTATTATGAGTTCCTGCTGTCATAGGCTATAACACAATAAATGAACAGCAAACGGTCCCACAAAATGAGCGCATGTAGTTATGTGACGCAAATATTTATAGACTGGTACCTATCTCGAAGCGTATACAAAGGTAATTCACCTAGTGTAGAGACAGCATTTTATCCGGTTAAATTCGTAAGGCAAACTGTCAATTTGTAGTGCTGGGTGCTTCACAGACCTATGATATCTATATCATATGCCAGCAATTTTTTGTAGTAGTCTGATAAAACGATCATCTCACAAGTAAATCGAGAAATTGGTAATAATGAAGAGAAATTTAGACTCATCTGTCAGCATACATTATTACTCATTACGTCTGCATTAAAATTATTATGAGTTCCTGCTGTTATAGGCTATATAACACAATAAATGAACAGCAAACGGTCCCACAAAATGAGCGCATGTAGTTATGTGACGCAAATATTTATAGACTGGTACCTATCTCGAAGCGTATACAAAGGTAATTCACCTAGTGTAGAGACAGCATTCCAGTCTTTTGAGAGCTAAAATCAAGCGCTAGATTTGTTGACATATGTAAACAGTCTAATTTGAAATGCAGATCGGTGCATATATTAGTGGAAAGAATGTTGTGTGAGTGTTCTATGATATGTTAACCTTACTATATGTACTTGGTGTTATGCCAGGAGTATGCCAGGAGATAATATGAAAACGTAAAAACATGAGAAATCCTCGCTTTAATAATACAAACCGATATAAAATCTTCAATCACACCGGCATTAATTGATTCTTTTCTTTGCAGCGATTCTGAATGAACAGGAGTGGACTATGGTCACTAAGCTGAAGGACTCGGTGGAGAAACAGCGGGAGCAGCTGCGGCAGCTAGAGAAGGCACTCAGCCAGAAGTCTCAGGATGTCGAATCTGTAGGTGGCATGTTTTCTAGCCAGTGTTCCCTATCCTAGTCCAGTCCAGCTATATCTGCGTATTCCCCAAGTCTAAAACCTGACGGTAGCTGTTTGGAAATTTACTTGGATTGGTGCTTGGTTTAGAAGTTCCAAGGCATTATTTTATTTGACATAATAAAAGATTTTGCTCGGCACACTCATAGCCCTTCGGATATAATCTGGAAAATGCGAAATTTTTAGAGAAAGTTGGGATTGAATGAACTATTTACTCTATTGTTTATCTTTGGTTGTACTACATTACAGCGCACAATCTATTATCCGAAATTCTGAAAACCGAAAAGCTCTCAAAACCGAAAGTTTTTTCGTGGAGGTTGTGTGCACACCAAAGCTCGCGTTTCGTTGCACAAGATTCAGTGCAGAAATATTACTGTGTTTGGCATTACACAAACATATTGTACTGTACCGGTACAGCACTAATTGGCCTCTTGAAAACTTGGGTTTTAGTACTGACTAGTTGCAGGATATACGGTATGTGTATCTGTACTGTACTACCATTCCAAATTCCTAAACGTGTCTGGTCCCAAGGGTTTCAGATAATAGATTGTGTACTGTAGTATTATGTCATTGAAACTGCCATAATTTGGTGGCATATTATGTACAGGTAAAAACTTTATTCATGATATATTAATGTTTATGTACAGGCCATATGTAAGCGTATTTTAACTGTGGGCCTGACCCAATGACTACCCCTATAACTATGTCTTTCTCATATGCAACAGAGATGAGCTCACTACATGCACTAGTATTCTTGTATGTATTAACTTGCTTGTCTTCTGTGAACAGATAGAGGCACATGTTGATCGCGTGACGAAGGTGTGTCGTGACCTACGGCGCAAAAATAGGCTAGTGCAGAAGCATGGACGCATGGCAGTGGAAGAGAAGGCTGATCTGGAAGCACAGCTTCAGGATAAGCTACAGCAGATCAACAGGCTGAAGGGCAAACTAGGCATCACTGTAGAGGAGGTATGGATGGGTGGGTTGCTGTTAGGTTAAACTGTAAGTGAATGTAAAATATGATAGAGGTGAGAAAGTATGGACATGTTAATGCAGTCACGTGGTAATAATGAGAACATGAGCAACAACGAATTGTCAGCCTATCAGGCTTGGTAGCTACATGAATAGCCCACACACTGCTTTATGATTGAGGCAGGGGTAGCTGTACGTTACATAGGTAGCCCAGCCCACTGGGCCATCACCACTATATAATATTTTGTGCTGATATTTTACATGTTTATTTTCATTTCTGTGGATGGGCCCTGGGCAGGTTTAACAGAGAGTTAACATTACTATAAGGTACACTGTGATGGGAACTGATGGAACATTGCGCCGGACATGGCGAACATGCGCGTCTGTAGTACTTTATGAGTTATTTATTATGATTAACTTGACAGTTTCTAATTTGTGCTACAGGTTTCTCTCGTTTGCATGGTTTCGATATATGTTTATTTGTATTGTTGATGATTTTCATATTTAGTTTGGGTGTGTTTTGGGGTTGAATGCATGCTAGGCGAATGTCAGTCTTCAGACACAGCTACTTGAGCATGAAGAGCAAGCTATATGCCTAAGAGCCAAGTTAGGAATTGTAGCCATCAGTGAGGTATCTTTATGTGTGTCTCCGCATCTGTGCTTGTACTACTCTTTCTCTCTCTAAGCATTTTTCTCTCTGTTACTCTCTTTCTCTCTCTCTCTCTCTCTCTCTCTCTTTCTCTCTCTTTCTCTCTTTTCCCCTGTCTCTCTAGCTCTCCACCTCTCTCTCTTTCTCGCTGCCTTTCTCTCTCAGAGAGAAAATGTTAGTTGTGTTATATTATAATTCATAATATGTATTTTTAAAATTTTATTTGTTTATATTTATTTTCTATTTTTATTTATTGACAAATCGATTCATGTGCTAGTAAGCAAAATAATATATGTTTATCGGCAATCTATTAATTTACATTTAGTGTCAAAAACTATGATGGGAAACTATGAGGTGTTATTGGAAATCAATTGTTTATGCTCTTTTGATATTGAATCTATGCTCCAGATCTCCACACCGGATTTGGAGGGTAAGATGCTTATTGACCTAAAAGACCCAGACAGGCCTCGCTTTACACTTAATGAACTGCGGCAGATTCTTTGGGAAAGAAATGAACTAAAGAGCAAGCTCATGGAGATGGAGGAAGAGTTAGAACAGTACAGACCGTGGTAGGTAGTGCTTGCATGGTGAAAACCTTCACACATGCCTACACGGCCATTATAGTTATTTTTAGCACTGCGTGAAGTGCCTTGAGAGTAATAACACTACTGTTGTGAAGTCTTCTCATGCTTTTGTGTTTAAAATTTCAAATGTGAATGGATTCATTTGTATAAGACAACTGTGGCTTATATTAAAAACTTTAAGGCTTGTATATTATTATCTGTGTTAAACCTGTTTTTAGCTCATCTAATACAGTCAGATGCAGCTTGTAGAATGGCATGAGCACCCATCTATCTATCTGTCGGTCCATCAATAATATGGGCACAAATCTAAATGGCTTGAGATACGGTGTTGATATTCGGGATGTAGGAGGGCAATCCAAAAATAAATTGGAAAGTCGAAGCTGGGGGTCAAGGGTCAAAGGTTAACAAGAATGAAGGAAGGGGGAACACTCCCCCTTAACGTAAGGTATAAGGAGAAATGCGGAATTACGGTTCAAGTATAGACAGCTTGTCCTATGCTCTTGATATTATATATATAGCGTCATAGTAAGAAAAGCCAAAACTGTTGTGAAATTGGAGGTCACAGGTTAAAGAGCAGTGGGGCAAAGGCCAGATTTCAGACATTCTTGGAGAACATGGTTTGACATGCGCAAGCATAAATGTACACAAGCATGCTTGCATTTTGCACGGACATAACAACTAGACAGTTTATTAATCAGTAGGTTTTTGTATGCAGCACTAGAGGGGAGGGGGGCCAGCTGTGTAGGCTGGTCAGACCATTCATGGTTGTCCTCAGTTGCATGTTGTGTCTAAGCAAAAACTTGTACACACCACGTAGCATGCTCATCTGGCTCGAATATACCTGTGACCCAATGACGCTATGGTAGGGAGTATTGTACCCCAATTCTACGATGATCCTGGTATCGTGTATAAGTCATTAATGTCGTTGTGCAACCTTTCTCTCACACTCATGCTAAACATTGTACTTGCTGCAGTTCACTAGCAGATGACCTCTATGAGGGCGATGCACAAGGACCAATCAACAAAGAACCCCTGGAGAAGCTCTACCCAATGAGATACCAAAAGTCTGGCATCAAACGCTTGTAAGTGCTATTCAGTATTTAACTGTCTAAAGGCCAAGATAGTAGAACAGTTTTAACATATAGTTTAAATTCAGTAGTAGTTAGTAGTATAGTGGCACACTGGTATTCTTTGTGTGTATAGGCTGCAGTCGGGCATGATTGTTCTTTGGGCTCCAGTTACTTATGTTTTATTCTTTTACAGCAGGTAAAACTATTTCTGATCGCTATTCGTTTCTGGTTTTTCTAAAGCTATATCTAATGTCTATCAGTTTCCAGTTTCCCTTGTTTTTCGTTCCTTGTTATAGAAAAGAGCTAAAACCATAACTGATCTCTCCATTTCTCCCAGCTTCCGGTTCTTCTTTGGAGAGGAGAGTCCGTTTACAAGTGCAAAGAGCAGCCCTGTGCACCAGCCTCGTGCAATAGGCATCAGGTCCAGCTCCTCCCCCGAGCCTCGTTCACAGGGCAGCAAGCCCTCCTCCCGCTCAGGGTCGCCCTCCGGAGTGCCTCCAGCATCCCCAGAAGATCAAGAGGTACCGGCCGGGAACGAGCAGTAGTGTCATCACAGTCGCACTGACGTCATCACAGTCGCACTGACGTCATCACAGCAGCAATGACATCATCACAGTAGCAATGACATCATCACAGTGGCAGTGATGTTATTACAGTATTCAGAGATGCCATTAATGTGGCAGTAATGTTATGATAGTATCAGGTGTATCATTGATGTAGCAGCGATGCCGTTACAGTTTACAGTGATGTCGTTAACGTGGCAGTGGTGTCGTTAATGTGGCAGTGGTGTCATGAGATCAGTGATGTCATCACAACCATGGTACAATTGATGTAGCAAATAGGTAAGCTCAGTAGCAGTGGCATTATTCATGTTATTGTAGACAACCTGCTGTCATTTTAGTGCTTGTGATCTATGAAACTACAGAAGCCTGTTCAGTTCGTAACAGAATTGCATCGATGGTGTTTTTGAAGCTATTGACTTGGCACACACCGTACTCTATTTAGCAGCTTATGAGATGCCCTGCTGTTTTAGACACATGCACTCAACATTTGGAAAGTAATAATCTGGAAAAAAGTTGACTTCATAATGGTCGTCCCCACTACTAAGAATTATCAACAAGGCCGCATCCTTGTTTAAATATTTTCACCCATCAAAGTCCATGTATTTCACAATTCCTCTTAATGATCAGCAATGGTTAGTATATATACTGTAGGCTATTCGGAGGTGTATAGAATACCACATCATAGCTAAAAACAATCTTAAATAAACAGTACTTAGTAAAACTTTCCATGACTGCTGACTGCTTAAAATTCTCACTGATTATGATCTTCGTCTTAATACATGCAAATCTGCCATATAAGATGCAAGATATGCTACTTATTATATACTCTGTGGTGGCCAAAATGCCTGCAGCCAACCATATGCTTGGAAGCATTGTAATATGTACTGTGAACATTTTTGCCGCCTGTGTGAAAATGGCAGAACAAAGCCTTTCTACTTGTCTTGCTGTTTCTCTCATAATGAACCAAACATGGCCTTGATGCTTTTGCATTGTCTGAGAATGTTCCTGACCATATCCAGACTAGCTGCATCCCTCTATTTAGAAGCAGCATAGCCTAGCACAAATGCTAGAACTGCTGTTGTAGGTATGAGAAGGTTTGGTGATGGTTGTTCATCTTTAACAACTAATCGGTCAGTCGTTTAAAAAAAGCCGTTTGTGGTAGCTGATGATAATGCAGAGCAATAAACGGACATGATAACATCAAGAGCTAATAATACCATCAAGAGCTAATAATAAGAGGTATTATTAGCTCTTGATAACATGTGGGTTCTCTTTATTTGTGGACAAATCAGCAGGTCTAAATAGAGCGAATGTAGCAGCAGCGTTCCTAGTACCACCCGAAATATATATAAATGCTATCGTAGAAAATGCAGTGGCCTTGCATTCCTGTGCTGCACTGTAAGTGGCTGTAACTGTAAGTGAAGCAGGCGTACTGTAACATTATTCTCTTATGTGTTAGTTGTTTATGATCAATACAGATGGTTTTCAAATGCGCTGCATGTTTCATCTCGTCGTGTTGATGTATCTGTTCGTAATAGGAACGCGTGTTGTTTGCATGCTTTGTGGCAATGTGCTTCTGTTGCTCATTCCTAGTCAGAATAGTTTGAAAAGCAGGTCAGAATTGTATAACTTGCGAGTCGCATTATAAATTAGGCCATGATTTCGAATTTAGTATTCATATCCTATATTATACGTGCTAATTTAAGAATATTTGTTACTTTGTAAATTTTGCATATTTAGTTGGATCAATATGTTTCCGTGCAAACTAGTTGTTTAAAAAAACCTGTTATTAGTCACGTTATTCAGGGAGAGAACGAATACTCTATAAAATACTCTATCACATATGTGTTGCTATGGGCGGCAACTGGCAATTCATATATGCATAATGAGCTATAAATAACAACACATGTGTGAAGAGAAATATTGCCAATCATGTGCATGGCAAACTGCTGTCAGTAGTCCAAAAGGGTATTGGACATTAAATAGTCATTCATGTGCGAATAAGGAGTTATGAATAGCATATGGTATGTGATTTAAAGTTAAGACGTTTTGGCCCTTTGGGGAGATAGGGGTAAGCTATAAACACTCCCGGTCTGTTCAGTATGCTTGTGTATGGATGCGTTATTGCACATTCGCGCAACCAGCTTCATGAATAGAAATATGTGTGGTGTGCCTTTGTAACGTTTTCGAGTAAAATTCCTGAGGGAAGGTACACTGCTGATTGTACTTATGTCTAGGAATGGATCTGATGAATGTAGGTATAGATTAATATAAAATCTAGCACTGTTATTACACTTGTATAGCTTTGTATATGTGAACGGATGAAGTTGATGTTGTGCTTATTATAGCTTAATTTTAACTGTGATATATAACCGTTTGTGACAAAATATTTTTATTTACAATTTATGCGTTAGATTTATGCTGGAATTTATTGGATTATTTTAAACTTCCATTTGTGATCTTATCCATTGTGATTATTTTTGTTTTCAGATATTATAGTCTACATTCCACCTTGTTCCTACCTTATATATACCTTATATATTCCTTATTCTGCCTACATTGTTATTGTCATATTTTCCTGCTAAATGATTTAAGTGGCACTTTCAATTTCAAACATATAAATACGTTTCAGCACATTCCACAGAGTCTTGCGTTTGGTCTCTGTGGTATGACGAATGTGGAAAATGTCAAACTTGTTAACAACCCCGTTATTTTATGTTTGTTATGCTACGAGAGTACGCGTGGTCGAGTCTGAGGGCGTCCGAGCAACGTCTTGTAATGGTATCCACTTGGGATTGCACGCAATTTAATATGGTGCAATATGTTTGTAACCGTACATTTTATTATCAGGAAAAAATGGCATGTCGGTATATCATGTTCGACTGTTGTTGTGCCCGAGCTATCCGTAATCTGCAATACAACAATACAACGACAAGCTGATGGCAGCATCTCGTATGAAGTACAAGTTTTTGACTTTTACTCGGGGCAATGCAATGAATGGTCCGTACCTTGACATTTTACTTGGTTTATTGCTCGCATGTTTACGCAGGGTATCTGCTCTGAAATCGCGTTATATCTGCTATTAATGTGCATACCATGTTTAAAATATGGGGAAAATAAAACAAAGATGACGTGTCTGTGAAAATCTAAAGGCGTTGAAGTATTATGCTTGAAATTATTGTCATGCCTATATGTCTTTACGTGGAGCTTATTAGATGTATAAGTGAAACAAATTAAATCGTGTGGCAACGGCAGAAACCCGTGAGCAGTATCACGTTGTGTAATGATTGATTTCAGATTTAGTACTAGACCCGTCGGCTCACTTTGCATGCCCTTAAATTTCGAATGAAAATTAAAAAGTCTATAACAAGGTAGGCGAATAACAAGGTAGGAACACATAGTTGAGAAGGTCGCATATTGCAGTACGCCCCTCTCTCCTTTGCTCTCAGTATCAGCTGAATATTTCTACCACACATTAGTTTTGTTCTCACGTCCCATGGTCTCTAACCAGACAGTCGGACGAATCTTGACACAGATTACACAATATACGCAACAGTTACTTTGTAATACAAAAATACAAGCTTGCTAAGTTAGTTTTCATACAACCTTATTTTGCAATACTACAATGACTTGGCAATATGGATATTAGCTTTTTAGTATACTTTTGTCGACGTTTTCGCTCAAACGATTGCGCGAGTTTTGTTACTATTTGCCTGACGTGTCGTGGCTGCGGCTTGTTGCGGTGTGTAGCGCGGCAGTATGCTGCATGTAGCGCGGCAGTATGCTGCATGTAGCGCGGCAGTATGCTGCATGTAGCGCGGCAGTATGCTGCATGTAGCCGCAGGCGTATGCTGCAGTAGCGGCGGCTAGTATGCTCACGTAGCGCGGCAAGTATGCTGCAGTAGCGTCGGCAGTATGCTGCATCGTATGCGCGGCAAGTCATGCTGCAGTAGCGCGGCAGTATGCTTGCAGGTAGCGCCGGCAGTATAGTGCATGTTAGCTTCGCGCAGCTATGCTTGCCATCGTTAGCGCGGGCGTATGTCAGTGGCATTGCTGCATGTAGCGCGGCAGTAGTGCTTGCGGAATCTCATCGTAGCGTCGGCAAGTTTCTGTAGCCTGTTCTCATGTAAGGCGACATGCTGATTAGCGGGCCATACGGTCATAGTCGCGTAAATACCAGCGCAGCATGCAGCGCGTCCAGCGGATGTGCTGACGTACTGATGTCGCTCAACCATAGGCAAGCTGCTGTCGCGCACGCTTCCACAAGCGCCGCCGCCAGCGGACGCCGCAAGAGCAAGGCGGCGCTGCGCGGATAAGTGCAAGTGTGTGCGTATATAAATTAATAACTATATATATATATAAATATATTGTAAATGACACAGAAACACCTGCGCAACATACGAGTGTATGCCTATACAGCGCAGTGCGTGTCTATCACGCGTAAAAAGCGATCTGAGAATTTCAGTTTGCCGACGCAATATTAATCACGGTGGACGTGTTCGTGTCGGTCATGGTTTCACGCCCGTGTGGTGAGATCGGCACTCGGAAATCGCCAGCAGTTGCTGCTTTAACGGGAGAGTTCCGCCCACCGTATTAATTCACAGGCCGTTGCGGGCATTACAATACCACCACCCAAGATGAGCTTAACTGCGCTCCGCTGTTGGGTAGAACAGTAAGCTTGAGCTCAAAAGATGATCTTCGGTCAGCGTGAGCTAGGAATTGTCGCGCGATATTACGCTGGGCAGGCACCCATGGTCGTATCGCGCGCGGCGGCCGCCCGCACACGCGGTTACTTCCCCCCTTCTACTTGCGTCGTGTGTACGTTTTCGCTCAGGTACGTATATATAATCACTGGTTAATTATATTTATATGTTTATTTATTATACTGCAGTTGTTGTGCTAGGTAAGTATACACTAGTATGGGTGCTGTTACGTCTATATGTGTAAGTACCAATACTTATAATTAGCGAAATGAGGTTATGAATACTAAATGGGTTACTATTATGACACGCGATCTTTCACTAGAGACTTTATATGGATGTTGTGGTACGTTTCTTGCAACTTCCTTATTAGGCGATGCGGTCCGCATATCGATGTCAGGAAGGTATGCGTGGGTGAGTTACTATGCATGTTCTGGTTATACTAAGCACCGGCTTGAGCACGCGGGTGGTATGAAAATATCACATTACGCCCCTAGCCAAACACCTAGTGTCTAATGCTTTTCTTGACAGTTCTGCAGGTTGTCATGCGTTCATATGAGAATCCGTTCTACGTCCATTCACGCGATTACATAAACACACGAACACTGGTGCCTTTATTTCTGTTTATTTATTCACCGAGCGCTGCTAACCGGCCACTCAAACCACGTTAGGTCTACACGCCGAGATCAGTTCCTCCAAGAACATTTAGCGCAAGTGTTAACTTTCATAGCTCTACTTATATACGTTCTGGAGTTAACCTACCTTTTATATAAATTGTACCCATGACTGTACACAATATCACACTGTTCTAAAATCGTATAGCTGAAAACTATTGCAGTTCGTTATATGTGACTTTGTCGTGTAATATGTTCGCCATATAGCGTATATATATGCAAGCCTCATGATGTGGCATGTGCCTTGTACACGCAGCAGGTATACCACGCTACTACAATCGCCTGCCGGTACGACCCACTGTCGCCTGTGCTCCTGTATACACTTTAAACAATTCATTTATTAAAACAACTCGCCGCTAATTATTTTTCTGTTTAGAAGTACCCCGAATCTATAATTCATGGACTTCTAGCGCAGGATCGTGTATGCGTTCGTATCTCGCACATAATTTTGATGACTCTTTATTTGGTTGACCCGGCGTGAAATCTCAATGCACTTTGCTCCATGTACGGGGGGCAACAGTGATAATAATCAAACGAGTTTCTCCATCGACCCCTGACCGGATGGCATTTAAGAGCAGCTTTTGCCCCCTTCCTTCCCCGCCAACTCAGTTGGGCGGGCGTTTAAGGTGTTCGTTTCCATCAACTGCATTCGTTCGGCTCTCTGTTTGCAATCCCTGGCAAATATTTCTAACTCTCTCTCTTTTATTTATAATTCGATTGCTATCGTATTCCACACATATGTCATCCGTCGCTCTCCGTGCGTCTTCTTCTTCTTCTTTTACGTAATCGTCAGCAGTCGGTATTGTCTTTCTTATCTTCTCTTCTTCTTCTTTTTCGTTTTCTTTTTTTTCTTTTTTTTTCTTTTTCTTTTTTTCTTCTCTCATTCTCTCTCTTTCCCTACTCTTCTTCTCCTCTCTCTCTCTCTCTCTCTCTGCTCTCTCTCTCTCATCTCTCCTCCTCTTTTAATCTTTCTCCACATCTGCTTTTAATCTCTCCTTTTTCTGTCAAAGTCTCTTCTTATTCGCACTTTTGACCTTTACTCTGATATTTGTCGTCTTTATCTCTCGCTCGCTCGCTCTCACTCACTACATCGCACCTCTCTCGTCACTGCGCGCCGCGCGTTCTCCCTTCCTATATCCTTCTGTGCTGCACCATACAGCGCTGAGCATGCAACGATGGTATATGCGTGCGCCCGATCAGACGCGTGATGGTGGTAGCAACACCCGCTGCCATTCGCCCTTGCTCTCCAGAGCACAGACCTCGGCTTCCGCTGCGGTTTAAGTGGAGGATCGCCGATACGCGTTTGTTAAGTGAGAGTGCAAATCGTATTTATGATTTTAAGTGCCAAGAGAAAATCACACTTACTCGTGTAGAACATTTCTGTGACTAGTCGATTGTGAATGCGGTGCATTGATCAGCTACCTACGATATAAGCAGAATATCAGCAAGTTTAGGTGTGCATCTCAGAGTTCGTAGATGAGCCCTACCAGCAAATAAACGCGCACAGTAGAGCTGACAACATACATACCATAATACATATATACATACAATACATGCATGCATACATACATACATAAATACATACGATCTACATACATACATACAGATACATTACGATACCATACATACATACATACATACATACATACATACATTACATTACATACATACATACATACATACATAACATTAACATAACATACATAATACTCATACATACATACATGTACTACTACATACAACATACTAAATAACATCATACATACATACATCACTAATAACATACAGACATACGATACATACATACATACATACATACATACATACATTACATACATAAACATTACATACATACATACATACATACACATACATACATACATAGCATTACATACATACATACATACATACATACCATACAATACATACATACATATCATACATACATACATACATACATACATACATTTACATACATAACATACAATCATACATACAATCTACATACAGTACATACTAACATACATACAGTACATACATACATACATCATAATGAATAATACATACCATACATATAATACATACATACTACATACATACATACATACATAGCAATACCATACATACATACATACTACATACATACATAATACATCATACATACATACATACATACATACATACCCATATCATACATACATACATACAACATACATACATTACACTACATACATACATACATATACATACATACATTACATCATACATACATAACAACATACATCATACTTCATACATACATACATACATACATGAAAAAAAGCTACATAATACATACATACATACTATAACATACATACATACACTACGTACATACATACATACATTACACATACATACATCATACTACAGTACATTACATACATACATACATACATACATACATAAAACTCATAATACATACATACATACATAAACATACATACATACATACACCATACATCCATACATCAATACATACATACATACATACATACATACATACATCTATACTACAGTACATACATACATTACATACATACATTACATACTATAACATACTTACATACATACATACATACATACATACATACATACATACATCATACATACATACATACATACATACATAAACATACATACATAAGTACAATACATACATAAACATACATACATACATCACATATACATACATATCATACATACATACATCACATACATAGCATACATACATACAT